CTCTGAGTTTGGTTGTTTGCTTACATTTCATTTCCTGAATAGATAATGTCATCAGTGCTAGTCTGTGTGGTTTGCTCCCTGTTTATACCTAGTAGCTTACCCTGCTAGTATCAGTGAAGATTCTCAATCATCCAGGCAGATATGCCGGAAGGTTGAATCGTTGCAGCTGGACTAGATTTTAATAATGATATAAAATTTAACTCCAGTTGCAATGATTTAACCTTCAGATAACTTCAGACGACCTTCAGTTACCCTGCTAGTGTTCCAGGAAGGAGAAAACTACACCTCCACCAACAACGATGTGCAATCTTCCTTGCCAACTTCTCCCTTGACTTTCTTGGTGGGAAGTGAGCAGATGGGTTGTAAATATTGATCACATGAGTGTTGGACCATCATAAGAGCAAGCTGATTGCCAAGAGCCTCACACTATGGACATGCCGCAATGGCCTGAACTTCAAGGACTGGTCATAAGTCCCACTCATTCGTTGCCTTCACATTTTGAACAATTGTTGAATGAGTGGTCTTTAACTGAGAGTCACCCGTAAAACAGTTTTATACACATGAAATTTGGTAACAAACGATGGAGTTTGTACAGAGGCATTTCTAAGCACAAGGGCGGCATTAAAATCTCAGAACAGATATGGCTAGGTATACTTGGATTCTTCTTTACCCTTACAACATTGTTACCTTTCTTTCGTCCCCAATGGAATGCAGAAAATATTGTCCCAAAATATTAATAATGACAAGAACAGCAGATTTCGGTAACATTCCTGTTTGTGCTTTGGATTCTGTGCAATTTTTCCTTGATTAGGGCCACACGTCAAAAGGAAGGCAGAGTCAGACAAAAATTAAGTTGGATTTAGTTTAGTTGATAAATATAATTATATAGTGATTAAGGCACCAAGCCAGAAAGCTGGAGACAGTGCGTTTTAATCTCACCTTGGCCATGAAAACCAATTAAGTCACTTTGAGCCAGTAACACAGTTTCAGCCCAACTTACCTCTCAGGGTGGTTTTGTGGGGATAATAGGAGGCATGTGTTGAATAGGTTTGCCATCTTGGGTTATTTGTAAAAAAATAATAAAGATGGGATACAGATAAAAGTTATGTTCCATGTATTGAATAATTAAATTTCATTATCTGTCACATTAACCCTTACAGTGCAACAGTACTTACTGGAGAGCTTCTAGGGGTTACACCCAAGGCTTTGGCAGCAGGTTGGAAAGCTTATGGTCTTCTGATTTATAATGTAGAAGGAAAACTCATTCTTGTTGCTCAGTTACCATTTACGTACATAGAGTAATCTAAAAATACCAAAATTGCCTAAAAAAAGAGATGGAGCAGAATAAAAAAATTAACAGTTCAAGTCAGTTCTTATTCCCAGTAGCTCTACAGGTTCACACACAAAAAGGGCCCAGCCTAATCATTAGAAAACATCAGTTTGTTAGCTCAAATTGGATATCTCTATCCAGGCACTCATTTTCTGGTTCCCTGGAAGCAACTCCTATTATCCATGAGTTGCCAGTTGTCCTGAAGTGCAGGTCAAAGAAAAGGTTGGAGTTAAACTAAAAACTTGTATTGGTTGATTAGATACTTTTGCTTAATGTCCTTTTGGGCAAGTGAATGTGTTCTGTTACACAACAAGATAATAGATCCAAGGAAAGTTCTTGTCAAGAGTTCATGGGTTTTTGAGAAAGACATCTTTTTTGAACAGCAATCAAGGTTTGTTGGCTTATGTGGGTTATGGTTGTTATGGTCAAACAGGATTACGTTGTTATGGTCAAACAGGATTATCAAACATCACCCTTTGCCTTCATAAAATAAAAAGAACAAATGTATTTGTATTGACAGCTTAGTACACAGAAAACTATTACAGAACTCTTATTTTTCTAAAGTAAATTGTATCTGTTTCTAATCATTTGTTCAAGAATCCATGCTAATTTATATTACTTCAAGAAACTACTTAATTGTACCTCTCCTGCATAAGACTGGTCAATATTTTAGTAAATCCTAAATCCTCTTAGTCATCGTTATTATGAGAATTTAATATTAGAGTTGTGAGGAATTACGTTTTCAATGAAGGAAATAAGGCAGAACTAAGTTCATTCTGACTGAAGACTAATACTCTAATATTGGTTTAATTACAAAAACTTGTAAATGAATTTGGCTGAGTACAAAATTGTGCCACACTATATTTGTTTAGTCATTGATTATTACATAAAGTACAGTTAGCTCATTCATATAGCATGTTAAGCAAACACTAATAAACGTCATTATGGCTTAATGGAGTCATGCTAAGTTCCTCACCCTTCCTTCCCTTTCAGAAATATATCTCTTGACTAATGTGCTCGCCTGATTTTATATCAAAATCAGTATATCAGTAATGCTGTGTAATGAGTTTGTAAAGCAATATACTACAAATGTGTCAATCAAACAATTAACTGAACTTTGTTGCCTTTTACATGATATAGATTAACCCATATAAGTAAAAGCATTCCTCTTATAATACTAAACTATGGACTTGCTAGCTCAGAATGGTAATTCTGCAGAATATTGTATCTTGTGAACACATCCTCTTTGCTCCTATTTGAATTTTCCCACTAATATGAGCAGCTAAGCAAACCAGAAATAGAATATATGAAGTATATCTGATTGAACTGTGGAGACCTTAGTGCTCTCTAAGCTTGGTTGTTTGCTTGCAGATGTTTCATTACTCAGTTAGGTAACATCTACTGACTGTGGGGTTTGCTTACTAGCACTGATGATGTCATCTAGTCAGTAATGAAATGACCCTAAGCCAGGGGTAGGCAACCCAAAACACTCAAAGAGCCACGTGGACCCACTGAAAACAAAACACTGGGAGCCGCAAAACCCTTTTGATATCTAAAATGAAGATAGCACTGCATATATATATCCTTTTTTACTGGATAATTTATTGGATCAATCTCAAATAACAAGGCCTTCCTAGTTTACTATCTGGTTTGTTTGGGAACAGTAAGCTACAAACTCTAGCCTTGATAATACATCTAGCGCTAGCCAAACTTCCCTGCCCTTCAGATCTCATCATCTAACAGTCTGAATGGGCTTTGACTGCTTGGTTGGATAAAGAAAGTCCTAGTCTACCACATTTAAAGAGTACCAGGATAGGAAGGATTAAGGCCAGTTTCTGATTTGTATCCACTACAAATTTCAATAATCTGTACACTAATCTATATTGTATTCAGAAACTTTAAACAAAGTACTAGTGCACACATCACATTAGGCTGTTAAAAAAAATCACTTTGGATGTGGTTTATCCATATACTTAGAAACCCCCAGAATGTAAAAATAGACTCAACGTATAGGTTTTTAGTCATAGCAATGAACTACAGATTGGAAAATATGCTCACAGTAATGTGAGATTTCACTTAACTATGTATTTACAATATTTTATATTGTACTGTCACTGTAATGCTTTGCAGCATACAGACTTTGTATCATCTGTTTTGTACTGCATCCTTATCTTAGTGACTCACAAAACTCGAAAGGTTGCGTGAAGAGCTTATTTATTACTAATGAAAGGGCTAGCGGATGCATTTTCAGCTTAGCTAAATGTGGCAGACCCCTAGAAAAAGTGCATATTGAAAAGCATTTAAAGGAAAACGATGTCTGCTCTCATGTGCATATTCAAAGAGGCATTTTGCGGTGAAGCAAGGAACAATGGATGCAATAATTTAATGGAACAAAAGAAATTAGAAATACATAAAAGGAAATCATAGACAAGAATATCATAAGATACCCTAGCAGGGAGGGTACCTTTGTTTTTATGGATTGCTGAGCAGCCTAGTTGTTGTATGTGAGATAGGCAGCCACATAAGTCCTATAAATAAATAAATGGATGAAAAGAACGCAACTAGGACTTTAGGCATTTCTTAAAGTAAGGACAAGCTGTATCTGCAGATATTATCAAGCCTTTAGAGATATAAATATGTAAAGAGTCAGTTTGGTGTAATGGTTGAGATGCTGGGCAAGAAAACAGGACACTTGAGTTCTAGGCTTCTTTTAAGCATGAATGCAGGTTGGGTGACTTGGGCCAGTCACTCCTTCTCAGCCTAGCCCACTCACAGGTTCGTTGAAAAATAGGCAGATGCATTCACCACTTTGAGTTGACCACAATATACTTTTATAAAAGCAAACTAAAATAATAATAACAATATGAACTGAAGCTATGTGAAAAAGACTATCTGAAATAGAATTGCTGCTCAAGACTTTCCATATATGCAGCCAAGATACTGGACAAATATATCACCCTTACAAACAATAGGGGATAAATAGTGAAAACTGGGGGAATCAAGATGCCCTATGGAATTCCAAAACATCTGGAGGGCCACTTGAACGCTATTAGCATTGGCAAAATCACTTGACAAGTGGATAAAAATGTCAGATGCTATCTAAATATATGGCTGACTGTGTCACTAACCATAATAATAGAAAAAAACATGGGTATAGTCAGAGAAAAGGGAATTGGGAATAATTCTCACTATAGATTTCTGAGCAGAAGTAAGTGGATCACCTTGGGGAAAATAAGGATACAGTACAGGTGGGGGATTATGAAAATACATAGCAGACTTTTAGCCAAGTCACATGAATTTTTCTGATATAGTATTAGAAGCAGAGCATGACTTCTCCAATGAAATGGCCAGGTGCTCTGCAAACAGCTCAGGAAACTGGCCTCTGTAGTCTGCTAGAGACTTTGTCATTGTTTTTTGAGATATTTTGGGTAGGGTTTTAAAAATTAGCCCTATTTTGAGGAACTGACCATTATTTAAATGTATTATTTGATCAAAGCATGATCTTTTCCAACTAAATTGATCATCTTAGCTTTGAATCACTATCACTAAATCTAGTTTTTCTATTAGCAGATTTGACTACAGCACCTAGTAACAAAACAGTAGTTTCATATTCATCCGAACTTGGATAAATTTGAGTAATCATTTCTTTCTTGACTTTTTAACTTTCCAGATCAAAACCTATTTCTTCGCCAGTGATCATCCAATTTGGACATGCAGAGACTCTTCAGCCACTTCTCGCACTCATGGGCTATTTTAAAGACAAAGTGCCTCTTAATGCCAGCAACTATCACAGTCAGTCAAAACGCAAGTTCCGTAGTGGCCGTATCGTCCCTTATGCTGCCAATTTGTTATTTGTGCTTTATCATTGTGATCAAGCTAGATCTCCTAAAGATGAGTATAAGGTTCAGATTCTTTTGAATGAAAAGCTCCTGCCCTTTACCTACTCAGGGAAAACAGTTTCTTTGTACACCAAACTGAAAAACTATTACAAATATTTCCTTCAGAATTGTGAGTTTGCAGAAGTGTGCAATATCAAGAAAAATGGTACTACCATTAATTCGTTATAAAGAGACATTGTAAAAAAGATCACCAATGTTTCAGCATATGCATATTTTAGGCAAATCGTAATGTTTTTGCTATTAAGACTGGTGTATTGCAGATGCTGCAGTGTTTTAAAAAGTCCTTAAATGTATATTTGCAATTTCTAAAAATGGCATCAAACCTGAAGCCTGAAAAAAGGCATACTTCCAAAGCTTGAAACAAACTGCTCTTTTCATGAAAAATAACTCTCCCTTTCCTAAATCAGAAATGATTGAAAAGTAATGACATAGTGTTTAGCACTCAGCTTACTCCATTGCACTGGCTGTGATTACTGTGATTAATGATGATGAAAAATGGCTGCTGGAATGCTAACTTGTAAAAAAAGGTGGATTTCAACAAGTATTTCTTACCTTCAATTCCAAGGTTCTTTCACATATTCCTGTCAATCTCAGGGGAATTTTGCAGCCATGTGAATTGTCTAAATATTTATTTCTCTGTATCACATTTTAGAGGTTTGGCATACATTTGGACAGCAAAGTGGTAACTGATCATTCCATGATTCAGTCATTTATTTTTAATGGTAGACTTTGTCTAGTAATAATGTTCATCTTCTAGGACCAGAAAAAGAGGGCTTGTGAACTTTGGACAAAGGCCATTTCAACTTTGGACAAAGGCCATTCCAGTTTTGGTATTTAACTATTCCAACTGCCTTCTTCTGTATTCATATTGAAGGTGAAGAATTAGTGGGTTTTGTTCAGAATCCAAAAAAGATAAAGTCATTCTGTACAGCAGGTGGTCTTTTCAAAACCTGAAAAATTGCCTGAAATTTAATCTATTTTGGGTGTGAAAGAGAGGGCTTAAACAATGAGAATGGGAGTGCGAGATCTTTGGGAAGTAAACGTCCACCATTCTAACTCCGAAACATCATTTCAAACCAATCTCACACTTTTGAAATGAAGGCCATTTTGCTTCTGTATCTCTGCAGTTCAATCTCATAATTTTGGGGGGACAAATACAAGTTATTAAGACTGCCTGCAGTCCAAGGGCGGTTAGCTGCCAACTGCTGTTTATAGGGTAGGTTATATTACAAGTTATAAAGATTTGTATAACTTGTATATGGTGCTTTTGTGAAATTTCTCATTAATCTTTAAAAGGTATGTCTTCTCACTGTGTAAATAAATATTTTTCAAACTTGACAACTTTAAAATGAGTGGATTTCAACGCCCAGAATTCCCATCCAGTATGCTGGATTCATTTTATCAAGAAGATATTTTTAAATTCTTCTTTTGAATCATATGTGAACAACAGATGCTACCTTAAAATCATGTGTTTTAAGAAACACGGCTATATATATATAAGATCAGACATCCAAAGCAAGGGGTTTCTTGTTTAAGCATAAATCAGATTAGAGTTAATTTTAAATCAGTTTATACATTTTAAGAAAAGCAATTTGAATTAAGTGGATTAAATTAGAAGATGCCTTACAATAGACTTTGAAGAAAGGGATTTTAAACTTGCTTTTAGTTGTAAGGTTTTTAATGAAAGTAATTAAAGGAAATGAATCTGCAATGATGGCTCTATTGATCAAGATGGAAGGAAAGAGAAGAGGATGACACAGCAAGGTGGATAGACTTACAGTAGTGATGAGTGCTCTGCTGCAAGATTGAAAGAACCAGGTTGGAGAAAAACTTGTTTCTGTGGTTGCTAAGAACTGACATTAACTTGAAGTCTGTTTGAGAATAACATTGATCATTAAACCTACTAGTACAATTAAAATCATTATTATAGGCAAAAGACTCATAGCTGCTTTGATTTTAGAACCGTTCGTTCCTTTTGTGGTCTTCCGTTAAATGGAATACAGCATGTGTGTTAAATATGTTACTGAATATAAACTGGATAAGGCTTCAAGAGGTGTGTAATTCTCTTCTTGCAATTCAGCTTTTTCTTTTGCAAATCCTTGTTAAACAAGATAACTCATCATATGACTTAAGTTCATTGTCATTTGACAGTATATTATATTGGCAGTATATTAAAGACTTTTATATTAAGGTTTAGCCATGTGAGGGAAATGTTATGATGGATCAAGAAGTTCAAGTATAGCTAAGATTGTGAAGCAGTCAGTTATGCAAGTTAAATTCAAACAGGTTTAATTACTATTTTCTGTTTAATCTGCTTTGTGTGTGAATTTGATGCAGATTAAAGGTGAAGATGGATGCCAGGACACACATTGGCAATAAAAAAAGACAGAGTGTGGGAAGACAGCAGATTTCATGCAGGGACTTAGTGAATGGGATTCACTAAGCCTTTCTCTCTGCAAGAGAGCTCCTATTCCCATTCACTCATGAAAAATAAACTCAGTTGAGGATAATTATTGGTAAGAGAGAAAGGACTTCCTTTTATGCTTGAAGTTGCATTTTGTTCCTTCTCTCCTTATTCCTCTCTGGTGACAATTTTTACAGCTGTGGAATTTGCAATGTTATGTACAAAATACTTGATAGAAAGTACTGTACATAAAATACATAAAAACTATGTCTAGATTTATTCCATTTATAGTACTTGGCAAAGGCATTGTTATATTATTTCTGCTTTATAAATAATCGATTAGGGGCAAGAGAAAGGAAGTGAGTAACACCTAAAATGTTTACCGCCTAACTTTGCATTTGTTTAAATCAATTATGGTCCTGAAAAAAAGGAGACTCAACCTGGTGTAAAGTTTGTAGTATGAAGTGCTTCTCTTTTCATTCTCTAAAAGTAGAACATTTTAGCATTGCTTTAAACAGGTTTAGATGGACACAGATTGTTTTCAAGGTTTTTAAAGTGTTATTGAAATTCTTTCCTCATGCCTAAAAACAGCTTGCTCTTGTCAAATGTAAATCCCATTGGTACAGATGGAATTGTTCTGAAAGCATATTTCATCAGTTTCACTTAAAAATAAAATCCTGAGATCATCACATCTGTTTAACATTCATGACAACATGTAACAGTCCCTTTTCATCATAATGGAAATGTTTAATTAAGATAGATTACTGAGACTGTTGGAAGACCTGAAGGGCCAGGTTGGACACAGATCAACCTAGAAAAGGTCTAAAGTATCTGTGTGGACACTAAGAGCCAACACTGATTTGTTGACACATAAACAAATGTTGGTCATGGGAGTTAACTTCTCTATAAAAATGGATTACGTGTTTAAAACAAGGAAGAGCTGTGGAGATCTGATTCAAGTGATGACTAACAGAGAATGGCTGGAGAATCTCCTTGAGCAAGAGAAGCATTTATGAAGCAGGAAAAACCTTTTGATCCTTTTTTGCTCCGTGGAAATGCAAAATAGGGACTTAAAAGCAATAAACACCTATTTGAATGAGAAAATAGCTAATGGAGCTATGAGGAAGTCCCACTTACTTTCAGAGTATTATTCCCAATATAGAGGAGAGATACTAGGGCCAAATTATGTATCTGAACTATCAAGTTAACAATTTGAAGAAATAAATATGAACTTTGAGCAATGCTTGTATGTTTACATTGCTGCATCTTTCTCCAATCTAATCACTTATTAAAAGTAGAATTGGGAGGCTACTTTCAGATAAACTGAGTTACATGACACGTGCTTAGTTAATACATGTATAGAAAGTGAGACAATGTAATTTAATGTAGATCCAGATTTTAATTTATATATCCTTTTGCACTATGGTGCCAATACTTCTCATCTTGCACTTTAAACTGGCAGACCTGGATTGAATCTGACAGAGCATCAGCAGAATTCATATTAGCAGTCATAATTTTTCACATGCTGAAAGATAATAGATAAATATCTCAGGGCTGTCACTTAGAAGTCAAGCTCTACTCAGTTGAGGAAAAAGGCAAGAGGCTCAAAGGTATGGATGTTCTATTGCTTTTAGGACAAGGTACCAAAGTGCTCACAGAAATCTTTTCTGCTGCCTTTTTTCCCATTTTCTTCTATTCGTATATCTGTCATGAGTCTCATTTTTCACTGTCATTTTTCTTGTGCTTCTAATATACATTGCCTAGTAAATGTTCTGCTTAATCTTTGGGGAGGCTTCTTCCCTCCTTGAATAATAGGAGATTTTTTTTTTCAGATTGTATTTAGAATGCAGCGTTCTGTCACATTCTATACATTACGCAGAAGTCGATTTCACTTACTCATCGGGACCTGCACTTTTGTATATGTTAGGCTGCTGTTGCTTTCATATCAGAAGTATTGAGGTGCTTCCAGGATGAAAAGATTAGCCAGTGACATCACCGTTGCCCAGAGGATTCCCATTTGGAAGCTCCTTTCAGATCTCTGTTAATGCCTATCAAAGTGGTACATATCTATTTACTCATGATTAGTCAGTTTTGAACTGCTAAGTCAGCAGGACCTGGAGTTAATGATAGGAGCTCACTCCACCATGCAGCAGCACTCGGGTCATCTTAGGCTAGCAAACTGAGTATTGAGGTGGGTCAACTGATGGACCAGATGCAACAATGAAAAAATTCTGACTGTAAAAATACTATTTTTCAAACTTGGCAACTTTAAAATGTATAGAATTCAATTCCTGGAATTCCCCAACCAGCAAGAACAAAGAAATAGAAATGATCTCTCTAGCTTGTAACTTGGAGATCTGAATCCTTTAAATGTTAGGCAGTTTTGTTTATCTTTGGCCATTAATTTCCCTGCTGGCAACCAGTGAGACCTGCAATTTGAGCATCTTTAAAGCTTCACAAGTTCTTCTCTTCTGGAAGTGCCGATGTTGGAAAGGCACTGAAGACAGTTAACCCAGATTTGTGGTGTTCTCTGACCACCACCTTTAGGTGCTAAGCAGAAAACAACAGGGTTTTCCCCCTAATAGAACATCTTCAGTCATTCCATTCTTTTTTATCTACCTCCTGCTCTTTCCTTGCTAATTTGATTTGGTCTTAAAAAGGAACACATATTCTCAACTGATTTGATTAGAAAATAAATTATTACAGTAAACACCACAAACAAAATAGAGATTGACATGATGGAAGCATGAAATGGAAGGAAACCATAACTACAGCTACCAAATACATAATATTCAGTTAGCAACTTACTGCTACTCAGTGCTTTTTTTGTAAAAAAAAAAAAAAAAAGGGTGCCGGAACTCACACACATCATACAACCTGCCTTGCCTACCCTACAAGGTTCCATCCAAAAAAGGTGGCGGAACTCCGTTCTAGGCGTTTTATGACAAAAAAAAGCCCTGCTGCTACTAATACACTCTGGGTCCTGCATTCATTGGATGAATAATGTTTACTGCATATCTAACTAACCCACATGACATGGGAATTTAGTGTGCAATAATCATGACAGCAACTCAGGTTTATCTGTAAGTATTGAGTCAGTTCTCACCTATGGCAGGAATGAGGGGCTAGTGCCCATTATATTAATGAACCACCATTCCTGTGACTATCCTTTTATAACTACTGCAAACTGTACTCAGATTTTTAAAAATTAAAACTTAAAAAAAATATAAATATTTCCAATGAAATGACTAGGTAAAATTAATTTGTCAGGCTTGACTGGAGTTCTGGTTTAGTAACATCTGAAGGACCCCAAGTTACCCAGCTTTGACTTATTGTCTGTTAAGTTTCTTGGAACATTAAAGTTTTTCCAAAAGCAATATAATAGGTGTGGTCTACTGCTGGTAAAGTATTGTAAATGTTTTAGTGACAGGACATGTTTTTTATACCTGTCACTATTTTTATACCAAAGAACACAGCCTCACGCCTTCTGTACATATTTCTGAAAAATCTTCCAGCTGCTTTATATAACGATGACTATAATTGTTTGCTTTCAACATAAGGACATTTATTATAATCAATCTATTTGAAACAATAGCTGCTTTGTCATGTGGCAAAAGTTCTTATGAAGAAAGTAGAAAAGAATGGGTGGCCAACGTTCTGGGATTTGTGCTCCCAGGTATGCAATTATACAGGTTGTTCTTGACTTAATGACCACAATTCAGCTTAAAATTTCCATGCTAAACAAGAAAGTGAATTTTGTCCCATTCTATGACCTTTCCTGCCACAGTTGTTAGGTGAATCACTACAGTTGTTAGTAACACAGTTGTTAAGTGAATCTGGCTTCCCTGTTGACTTTGCTTGTTACAGGATTACAAAATGTGCTCACATGAACCCAGGACACTGCAAGTGTCAAATGCATGCCAGTTGCCAAGTGTTTGAATTTTGATCACATGACCATGGGGATGCTGTAACAATCATAAATGTGAACAGAGATCATAAGTCCCTTTTTTCACTGCCATTGTAACTTCAGTCACTAAATGAATGGTTGTAAGTAGAGAGCTATCTGTATGCATACATATTCTATTTTCTCTTTCCATTGACTTTAATTTCAATAGAACCAGAAGAGATAAAGACATCTTAACCAGCTTTGCTGAAATGATTTATCAGGAATACGTTCTGGAATACAATGGATATTTTGATTCTTATTAATAACAATATCCCTATGATATTTCTTCTGTAGTTCCTTCAACCACAGTTCCTTAAACTGTAGGAGTTTTTTTCCTTCTATTCAGTCATGTCTGAATCTCAGAAACTGCTGGGACAAGTCCCCCTCCAATTTTCTTGGCAAGGTGTTTCACAAGACGTTTGCCATTGCTTCCTTCTTAGGGCTGAGAGAAAGTGACTGACCCAAGGTCACCCAACTGACTTTGTGCCTAAGGCAGGACTAGACCGCACAATCTCCTGATTTCTAACCTGATGCCCTAACTACTACTACCACCAAACTGGCTTTCTTAAAATAGTAGAATTTTGCA